AATTGGACCAAACAACAAAACTTCGGTATAAACTTTTATTAATAAATTTGAATTTAATCGGCTGTAATTCGGCAGCCAAATAATCCAATTTGGACTAGTGTCATCAAAGCATTATTATATGTATACTGCCATTCTTATTTTTGGTTTGATCTCTAGCTTTTTTTTTTTCTTTAAAAAGAAGTGATATTTTATTAAATTTTTATATGTATACAATTTAATATATAGTACTATGTCATATAATAAAAATGCAATACTTAGATAAGATAATTTTATTTATATTAATTATTTAATTATCTTTTTAATGCATTTATTATTGTTATCACTATTTATTTCTATTTATAGAAGTTTATATTACTATTTCTTATTATATAGTGGCTTATGAAATGAAATATAAAAAAATTGACAAGATTTGATATCTTATTATTAAATAATTAAAGATAAAAATAAATAGATTTATTTATAAAAATAAGAAATATTATTTATAAATAAAAATTTTACCATATATAATTATAACTAATCTGCTTTTTTTTTTTAAATAGTATATTATAATAAAGAGATTATTTAATCTGAAAAATTATTATCTTGTAAAAGATAGGATTAACTTTGATTTAATAGATCTTACAAATAAAAAACAAAAGTTTCTAATAATAAGTTAAATCTTATCATTCACATATTTTTTTATTGTTTAAATGATATTTCATATAATTTATTATTTCTATTAAAATTAGATAAATCTATATATAACTAAAATTAAATAATTACTAATGTACAGTATAAAGTAAATTAACTAAGTATTTTAATATTTTAAGTTTTATTATATTATTATAAAATAGTCTCATTAGAAGTATTTGTGAAAAAAAACAGAGATATGATTATTAACTATTGGTGACTAGTATCAGAACTGATAATGAGATAATAAAAAACTTTAATTATTTGAGTTAGATATAATAAAAAAATATATCATTTTTATCAAACTTAAAAAACCCTATATATAACTAGAATCAATTAATTAGTAATACATGATATATAGTAAGATAACTAGATATAACATTTTTAAGTTTTGTATTATATTTGTTATAAAATTATTAATATACAAATTAATGAAGAGGCTTATTAAAAGTATTGACTTGTGAAAAAAAACAGAGATATAATTATTAACAATTGATAATTAATAATATTAAATTTGATAATAAGATAATAAAAAACTTTAATTATTCAAGTTAAATATATTAAATATTATTTGAGAAATTGCTATTTTCATCAAAATTAGATAAACCTATAAATAATTAGAACTGATCGATTAGTAATATACAATATATAATAAGATAACTTATTTGTTTATTGTGAAATTATTAGTATACAAATTAATTAATAGACTTATTAATAAAGATGGATCCCTAAATATTTTAATATATAAAATTTTACAAATCAATTATGTCTTTTTTGAAGAAATACAATTATTTATTTATTACTTTAATAGGAACATAATTCAAAAAACACTTGAATCAAGTAGCCTAAATTGCAAAAAACCTTTGTAAATAGTTTTTTTTTAATCTTATATTTTTTAAAAAAAAACTATTTTAATATTTACTTATTAGAAGTGTTAACTTATGAAAAAAAGCAAAAAAACAATAAGCAGCTAATAATATCAGGTCTGGCAATAAAATAATGAAAAACTTTAATCATTTGAGTTAAATGTAGTTAAGTATTATAAAATAAAACTATATTTTTGAATCCCTAGTAAAACAAATTTGAATTTTTTTTTTGTTTATATAAAAGTATTAATCAATCAATTAAATTATAAGTTTAATAAAATATCCAAGTTTTAAACTTACTTGTCATTTTTTTTTAATGCAATCTGTAGTCATTTAATGAAGATAATTTTTGATTTGTCTAAAATAAATAAATTGGTATCTGAAAATAAAGAATTAATAATAAATATATATAATTTTAAAATAAAATATAAAACAATTAAAAAAATTAAACTATAAATATGAATGAAAATTATTAAATCTATTATTTTTACAGTTTATTTTATTTAAATTATCAAATTTGAAGAACTAGATAGAGTTTAAAATTATGTCAAATTATTGTATATCTTTAGATACAATGCATTATAGTTAAAGAAATTTATAAAAAAAATTTAATTAATCTTATTAAACAAATTAATAAAACAAAAATTAAAGATATATTGAAAACAGTTACAAGTTATATAATAGAAAAACCTTACAAACTTTGAATCCAAAGATATATAAAATTTAAATAGTGAAAACAAAGTGAAAATATTAACAAGAGTAAAAAGAGTAAAAAACAAAAAAAGCAAGTAATATATAGTAAAACCTAATAAATACTAATTAGATCAAGAAAAAAAATATAATTGATTTTAAACTTTATTACTTATACAATAACAACACTAATGAAACCTTGACACATACCCATGAGTAAATCAATAGCAACAAGCTAATATGGAAATAATTTAATATAGCATAACATAATCTAAAATAATTTATAGATAATAAGAAATACAAATGTAAACTAAATAAAGTATGTTAAGCAAGGCCTTGTTGAAAAAATAATGATAATAATAATTGAAAAATAATAAACAAGAAAAAAAATAATGTAGAATCAGAAATATAAAAAAGTTAAAGAAAAATATTATGAAAAATAAACATGCACAAAATATGGCAATATAATGGTGCAGATCAAATAGTGACAGGCAAAACATAAAGTGTTCTACGTTTACGCTTCGGACAGTAATATTTAGTTGGTTAAATGACACTAATTCTCGAATAAGGTCTGTTATGTGACGATGAATCAATAAATAATACCTATACATGTACATTTGACAAATTATCTCTCTCAAACATCAATACTTTATTAAATCGATAATAACACAACCATAAAGAAAAAAATTCTTTGCGATTATAACCTTCTTTTCAGTGGGGTGTGTTTTTTTAACTTTACACCAGCTTTTTCGAGAAGTTCACTGGCCATTTTATCCATGCCGTATGAACTATTTTAATTGAGAAAGCGATTCAGACAAGGGATAGATTGACTAATTGCAATAATAGAAACGATTTAATACTTTTTATAGATGACTTCCTTAACGCCCACTTGGATCAATTTGATGGTGCATCCTAATATTAAAAAAAGTTCCAGCGAGATTATGGATCAGATCAATCGAAAGATTAGTAGTCACTATATCGGAAGTATTTGAAGTAAATCTATTTACCAAGACAAGGACACCTGAACAATAAAGAAGATATGTCAACCATCTTGCGAACAAATTCCGAGTTCATTTACATCTGGTAAGGAATCGAACTTACGTGTTGCAATAAATAATGCAACCTTCGCCGATTCTTTCCCTTCCTGCTTCCAGTAACGCATTTTCTTCTGCATGCAGGCAAAGGCAAGTTTCCAGGTTTGTTCCACACGGAGCCGCATTATTACAGCGACTACATCCACTTTCGTTACAATTCTCTAATCCTCTTGGAGTGCCATTGTAACCTGTCGCGATCACCC